CCGTCAGCTGAATACTTCAGCCCGATGGCAGAAACGTCTCAAGTCACCGAGAGGAGAACGGTACAGGACGAATATAGGACACCAGCTAGATCAAGAGGTTCTCCTAGCTATAACCTGAGAGACCTCCCCGCGGAGAAGGACTTTTTTGCAAAGTTGACAGGTGCAATCAGCCATGCAGTTGCGGATGCCATTAAGGAGCATTTACCAAGAGAAGATAAAACAGTGGCGCAGGAAAAAATGGGTCCACCCAGGATACTCGACAGGGTTAAACGAGCAGAAAGACCTTCCTCCGTCTCAGGAGCGACTGAGTCGCAAACCGAGGATGACGGAGCTGCACGCCTATTGGTCCAGGGCAAAGGGACAAAGAAGAAGAAATCTCGAACCCAAACTGAGAGGGATAAGATACCTGAGACTCCGAGAAGGAGAGAGAGGGAGAGACTGGAGGAGGGTAATGTAAGAGCGGATCCGATACCCCCGGCCGGGCCGAACCGGGATAGACCCGAGAACACTGGAGTGCCAAGGGGGAATGTCGATGCCAAACGATGGCGTGCTCCGAGGTCTGCCGCGGTTACCATGTCCTTTCCGGAGGGAATGAGGTTCGCAGACGTTGTAAAGAAAGCCCGGAGCAGCGTTAAATTAGAAGAGCTCGGAATCGAGCACACGAGACTGAGGACCACACTGTCGGATGCGGTATTGGTGGAGCTCCCAGGCAAAGATATGTCCCCTAAAGCGGACTCGCTGGCGGAAAGACTTAGAGATGTCTTCAAAGACTCGGAAGTGAGAATAGCCAGACCGTCTCTGAGAGGAGAATTGCGGCTCTCAGGATTGGACGCGTCTATTGGCCCGGAAGAAATTAAGACGGCCATGGCTAGCGCCGGTGGCTGCACAGTGGCGGATATTAGAATGAGACAAACCAGAGTGACCAGAAACGGTTTCAGAACAATGTGGACTTAATGTCCGCTTACAACGGCGGTACAGCTAGCGCAAGAGGGAAGACTCCGGATCGGGTGGTCTACATCAAGGGTGGACTTGCTGAAAAGACGCCCGGTGCAGTGTTACAGATGCATGGCCACCGGCCACGTAAGAGAGAGGTGTCCGAGCAAGGTGGATCGTTCCACATGTTGCTTTAACTGTGGAATGGAAGGACGCCTGGCCAAGGACTGTCGAAGGGCACCTGAATGCCCGATCTGTAAGGAACACGGTCATAGGTGTGATCACAGAGCGGGATCGGACGGATGCCCTCCATGCCCACCAAAGAGGATCATGAGCCCAAGTCCAGAACCTCAAAGGAAACCGGCCGATCGGAGAAGTGCGGCCCTACCCGGAGGATCAGTATAGCGACGATCGTACAAATTAACACGACAGGTCGACCGGGGCACAGAACCTCCTCATGCAAATCATGCATGAGCGAGGATGTGGGCTTGCCTGTATTCAGGAGCCGTATGTCGTCCCGGACGACCCGAAGTGGGCACGGTCAACGGAGGACCCGCCTATGGCTGCCATTACATGGCAGGGACCACGAGTACCGAGCATAGTAAACGTGTTGAACCGCGGCCGCGGCTTCGTGTTAGTAAGATGGGAGGGGATAGTTGTAGCGTCGTGTTACTTCTCCCCCAATAGAAGAATCAACGAGTTTAGAGCATACTTACAGTCTGTTGGGGACGCTATCTCGGACCACATAAGGGGCCCATTAATCGTAATGGGCGACTTCAACGCGCGATCCCATCTTTGGGAAAACACGCACCCTACGATAAGAGGTGATGTGTTGGTCACCTGGGCAGCGGCGCTGGACTTGAGGCTCATCAACGAGGGAACAGACCCTACGTGCGTGAGGCCTCAGGGTACCTCCGTGATAGATCTGACATGGACTTCGCCAGCCGTTTTACCCCTGATTCGATCATGGGAGCTCGCGGTAAATGAGGAGTCGTTATCCGACCACCGGCTAATTTTCCTCCAACTGTACGGCAAGAGAAGTGGGTCTGCTGCATGCCCAACTCATGGTTTTCCCAAATGGAATTTAAAGAGCCTTAAGCCTGATTTGCTAAGGGCGAGCCTGATGGTGTCCTACTGGCCGGAGGCAAAAGATGGAGAAGGAGCGGAAATACTGGCCACGCGCCTGCAAAGCGCGCTGAAAGCGGCGGCGGACATGTCTATGTCCCGACATAAGGCTCGTGGGCGCACGGCGCTTCTATTGGTAGAACGACTGCATTGCAGACCTGAGAAAGGAATGCATTGCACTGAGAAGAAAGGTAACTAGAGGACGCAGGAAAAGGCATGCCACGATACTCATTCTGGAAACAGAGTTGGCACAAGCGCGCAAGAGGCTTCGGGTAGCAATACGTGAGGCGAAAAGCAATGCATGGAAGGACTTGTTGGCATCAATTGATCGAGACCCATGGGGCCGCCCATACAAGTTGGTAATGGGAAAATTACGGCCGCATGGGAAACCGATCTGTGAAACCCTCCCACCAATACTGCTAACACAGATGATAGAAGGATTGTTCCCTAGAGTGGACGAAGAATTGGAGCCAAGAGATAGAGAGCTGGTTCAATGGGACAACGATTTCGCGGTTACGGACGAGGAGATTAACTGGGCGGCCGGCAAGATGAAATATACTGGTAAAGCCCCGGGCCCTGATGGGATAATGGGCGGAGTGATGAAAGAGGCCCTCCCCGAGATCAGGGAACTCCTTAAACAGTGTTTTACGGCCTGCCTGAGGGAAGGAACATTCCCGCTATGCTGGAAAACCGCTAGGCTGGTATTGCTAAAAAAGCCGAACAAACCTGATGGGAGGCCGTCCTCGTACCGTCCGATCTGCCTCCTCAGCGAGACGGGGAAGATGCTCGAGAGGATTTTGGTGAGGAGAATCCGATCGAGCCTCTACGAAGGCACGGGATTTCGGATAGTCAATTTGGATTTAGAGAGAAGCGTTCGACTGTAGATGCGATCTTGCGTTTGAGGGAAATTCTCGAACCGGTGTACGGGGAAGAGAAACTGCAGGCCATCGCGATTTCGCTCGACATTTCTAATGCTTTCAATTCCCTGCCATGGGGGAAAATAAGAGAAGCATTAATACAAAAAGAAATCCCGAACTATTTGAGGGTGATAACGAGTAGTTATCTATCTGACAGATGGATCAAATGGATCGACGCTGAAGGACGCATGAAAAGGATGTCCATGTCATGCGGTGTACCCCAGGGATCTGCATATGGACCGGAGGGATGGAACCTGGCGTACGATGAAGTGCTCCAGGTGGGCCTACCGGCGGAATGTCATGTGATCTGTTATGCGGACGACACTTTGGTGGTTGCCCTTGGTGGAAATCTGGATATTGCCCGCGCCGGACTTGGTTAGGGAGCGGGACTTGGTTAGGGAGCGCGAGAGTGAGTGGGTGCGTGAGTGTGCGTAGCGTTATTTATAAGAAGATTATTAGTCTTAAGAGGCGAAAGGGTTTGCAGGAGAGGATAGGAGGAGAAAGTAGAATAGAAGAAGAAACGGGATAATTGGAGGAAATTTGGTGCGTGGAGCAGGAGAGGCGTTGTGAGGGGTTTTGTGTAGAGAGGCTTGGAAGTAAAGTGTGAGGTTAGGTGAGAAGAGTGCGGTAGACGGGTGGCGATAA